TCTCCTGAGAAGAACCATTAACCTCGCCCCAAGGTGCAGCCACTTCTGGGTGGGGCGCAACAGATCCCAACGGCCACGGTAACACTGCACGGCGCTTTAAGACAGGAAGTGAGGAGAGCCCTGCGTGCACTGGGAACCTTAGGCTGCACACTGCCAGGAAGGACACGGGGGATAAGGCCCCAAATGGGGCAGGCTACGTCTCCCCCAACGTTCGCGCTGCACCCGGATCCCACCTCCAACCCCCTTCAGAGGGGCCGGGCGGAGCTTAGGAACGGAGCAACAGGAAACGGGTCCGTGGGAGCTGAGAGCTTTGGGGGGCCGGGAAGCACCCAGCCCTGACTGCGCCCTTGGGCGTCAGGCCCCAAGTTACCAGGCCACTAGGCCCAGCCGGCTGGGCAGAGATCCCACCTCCCCCCGCTTCGTCAGCCTGGTGCCAAGGACTCAGATAGAAACAGCCCCAGGACTCTTCACCTCGGGCCTGGGGAAGAGTCTGTACTTACCTGGAAGAGAGACAGAGGCGACCGGGTCAGTTACAGGCCATGCGGCCCCCAGCCAGGGTACCTGCCTGGAGCAATCGGCAGCTTTGCCAGGGCAAGGCAGGTCCTGCCACACCTCTGAAGCATTGGGACCGACTGGGGAGTGGGGGCTAGTGGTTAAAGTCGGGGCCTGGGGGCCAGGACTCCTGGGTTCTTTCCCGGCTCGGCCACTAAGGCCCCGAATGATGCAGAGGGTGGGACACAAGGCTGGCGGTTCCTTGGATAGAGAGACAGCCGGTCGCCTGCAGCCAAAACAGCTCCCCCTTACTGACCCCGTACCAGACTGCGGGGCAAGGTGGGGGGCTGCTCTGAGATCCCCTGCAGAGAATCCAGGGGTGCAGGGTCACACTGCCCTCTTGTGGGGCAGCTCAGCACTGCAGTGGGTTTGGGCCAGGGAAGGGGACACCAGCAAGCCGGTGTAACCCCCACAGACCCCGGGCGTTGGCGGGCGGGATCGAGCCTTGGGCCTCTGGAGCTTAGTGCATGAGCTAAACGCCACCTGGCCCTTAGCTCCGGCTGTAGTGGACTCACTAATCTCAGCGCACCCCCCCCAGGAGGTGTGGGGGTTATGCGGGGGTCAGGCTCTGGACATCCAGCCCGGAATGGCCCCCAGCTTCCCCCTCCCAGAGCTGGGGAGAGAACCCAGGAGTCCTGGCTCCCGGCCCCTCCTGCTTCAACCACGAGATCCTACCCCTGCCTGCCGCTATAGCCCCAGCCCACGTCCCTGTCTGAGTGCTGGGGAGAAGGGGGGCTGGACCACCCCACCCTGCAAACCCCTTTCTCTCCCCCCCAACCAGGGGAGCTGAGACTATCTCAGCAATTCGAGGGTTAATGCCAAGCCCTTGGGCTCCCTGGCGGGGATTTTAACCTGCTGCCTTGAGCGGAGCCGCCAGCAGCAGTAGGTTGTTATACAGCTTGGCCCCCACAGGGCTCCCCCCTTGCCCCACTGACTGCGAGAAGAGCCTGGCTGAGCAGCCCAGGGCCCATGCTCAGGCCTGTCGGCCCCCCCACACCCTGCCCCATCTATAAACCCGAGACAAATCCGCTCATGAGTTGGTTTCCGGCCCGGGCCAGTGCCGGGGTCTCAGGTCGGGTTAACCGAGAGTCCAACCTCCCTGCTCCAGCAATGCAATGTGAACTGTGCCCATGGAGCCACCCCCCACCCCCTGGCAGGGGGTCGCTGAACCCGCTCGGACGACACGAAGGGGGGGATGGGCGTTGTTCTTTGGGGGGAGCTCGGGAAAGCCGGGGAGAAACAACCTGAATTTCCCCAATTCCCTTTGAAAACGTTTTGGATTTTAAAAAACAAAAACGGGGGGGGGGGAATGCTGGTTTTCACCCCTCCCCATTTCCTAGCAGCCAAGACAGAAAAGGAGGGAGGCTGGACCCCCCCGCGCCCGCTTTAGCACCGTTGTGGCAGCCCCCCCCAGAGATTTTGCCGTTCGGGGAAACGCCGTTTGCTGTTGAAAATGGTTCCGAAAACCATGTCTTGCCTCCCCCCGCCCCTGCCCGCACTCCCCAGCAGGCCCCGCCCGGTGCCCCCCAGAGAGCACCAGTGGCTCAGACCCCACAGCTCCCCCGGCTGCCCCGAGACCGCAGGAATTTCCAGCTGCAGGACGAGGCGCGTTTGCTTCTAACCCTTTCTGGGCCCCGCTGGACACCCAGCCCCGGGGTCTGGGGGCAACGCGGCTTTTCTGCCCCCGGCAGCCGGCTCTGCGGTGCAACCGGGCTGCAGAGCGCCCCCTGCAGGGCTGCCTGGCCCAGCCCAGCTTCCCCCGCTCCTTATCAGCCCCAATCAGCCTGCGCTAGTTTCCTGTGCCATCCACCGCGGTGATAAGCCAGGGGCCGGGGGCGGGGGGTCCCGGGGGGGGGGGGGGGGGGGGCAGCCAGGACCCAAAGCAGCGCCCGGGTGGGGGGATGGGCAGTCGCCGGAGGAAGGGGGCAGCAGGAGCAGTGCCAAGCCTGCCCCCCCGCCCCCGCAGCAGGGAGCCGAGCGAGGGAATCCAGCCGGGGCCGATACCGAGAAACCCCAGTCGGTGACTCAGCGCAGCCGCCTCAAACCACAGAGAGAGGGAGTGGGGGGCAGGGGGGCGCCCAGGCAGCCCCAGGAGAGCCTGGCAGGATCGGGGCCCGCCAGCCTCTCGTGAGGAGCCGGCGGCAGCGGCAGGAAGCAGGAGCCGCTCTCCGGAGCAGTCACGCCACTCTCAGTTCCCCTGCCCGGCCCTGGGGCGGGCGCAGGGAGATATTTATAGAGGGGCCAGACGCAGACAGAGCCGGGGCTGATCCCACAGAGCCGCCGTCCTGAGACGCAGGGAGCTGGGACCACGCCAGAGCTGGGGGCCTGGATCCCCGCCTGCACCGGGCCAGACCGGTGGGCTTGGATCCCCGCCCGCACCGGGCCAGACCAATGGGCCCAGATCCCCGCCCGCACCGGGCCAGACCAATGCGCCCGGATCCCTGCCCCCCCCGGGCCAGACCAATGCGCCTGGATCCCCGCCCGCCTCGGGCCAGACCAATGGGCCCAGATCCCTGCCCGCACCGGGCCAGACCAATGTGCCCGGATCCCCGCCCGCACCGGGCCAGACCAATATGCCCGGATCCCCACCAGCCCCGGGCCAGACCAATGCGCCCGGATCCCTGCCCGCCCCGGGCCAGACCGGTGGGCCTGGATCCCCGCCCGCACCGGGCCAGACCGGTGGGCCCGGATCCCCGCCCACCTCGGGCCAGACCAATGGGCCCGGATCCCCGCCCACCCTAGGCCAGACCAGTGGGCTCGGATCCCCGCCCGCCTCGGGCCAGACCAATGGGCCCGGATCCCCGC